CATTGCATTGCCTTTAAAGAAACAAAACAAAACCAAACTTGCCAGATATTCCAAATCACCTTGTAACTGAAATGCTTGAACATGCAACTTTTGCTGTTGCCATGGGGGTATGATTCATGCCATGTCTTTTTACACTAACAGCTTTACCTGATTTTAGTGTAAAAACTTAAGTAGAAAGGAGAAATGGTAGAATCTCACTAATTCAAACTGACTGGGAGACCTTAGTAAATAAGGGCCTGACTCATCAAACATTTAAGTACTTTATTAATAAGTAAATCTTATTGATCTGAAGTCAACAGTACTATATATATATCCTTAAATTAAGCAGATAATGAAGTGCTTTGATGACTCGGGACCTGAGTGAACAAATGTGAAAATGTTCATTTATTTGAATTTAGTTTTATTTTGATACTTCATAATGTATTACTTATTCCATAGTACAGATTGTCAAAGCATTAAAATCTTAGTCATCTGAAATCTCACAGCACCCTGATTATACATAAGTATAAGTACATAAAAGGTCGTCACAAGGAGGAGGGAAAATAATTGTTCTAATGAGAAGAGCAGAAACAATGGGCTTAAATAGTGGCAAGATTTAAGTTGGACATTAGGAAAAACTTCCTAACGGTCAAGGTAGTTAAGCACTGGAATAAATTGCCTAAAGAGACTGTGGAATCTCCATCACTGGAGTTTTTTCAGAGCAGATTAGAAAAACAATTAGGGATGTCTAGATAATACTTAGTCCTGCAGTAGACTAGAATAGACCTCTCGAGTCCCTTCCAGTCTTATGATTCTGTGATACCAAATCTTTGGAGAGAAGTGGACCGAGTGCCATTGTGTGTTTATGCAGTGTTGGAAGTAGAGGCTTTATTGTTTGTTTTATACACTTGTTATGGTGAAAAATGTGTAATTGTGATGGAAACAAATACTCTTAACTTTGATTTAGTTGTAAATTTTGCAATACTGTATTTTCCTTGCAACCAAGTAGTTTTTCTAGGAATACTCAGGATCTTGTATCTCTTGAGAAGTGAGGGTTAAGAGAGAAATTATTTTGCTCTACTTCATCTGTATATATTAGCTATTTATATGTTAATCACGATAGCTTTTAGTTATGGTTATGATGTATGGGCCATTTGAAAAACAAAATACCTGATTATCAATTTAATCATTAAAATTAGTTATATTTTTCCATCTGATCTAGAAATGAAAAACAAAAACAATTTAGTCGTGTAGTTTATTCCTTTGTCACTGCAGTACTTTTACCACTCGGAATCCTTTTTATTAATCCAACCAATTTCAGGGACCCACGGTGCAACAGCCAGAGAAGTTTTTACCACAAAATTCTTAGTTTAAATAGATACAATATGTCAAAGGTGATAGTGTGTGTTATCCTTATTTTACATTGGGGCCAGGTAGCAAAGACATTAAGTCAAAGGTTACACAGGAAGTCTAGCAGTGCTGGCAGTTGAACCCAGACCTTTTGAATCCTAGCCAACTGCCTTAACTACAAAACTCTCTTAAATTGTAATTATTTCAACTTATCCTTTAGTTAATACTTCCTTCAAAATGATCCTTTCATGCCACAGTTAATTTAGCAATATTGTAACAATAGGATGAAAACTAACTTAAGAACGTGTTGGGGGGGGGGAGGGTTCTTGCAACTGTTTTATAGGCATGCGTATCTCTTTCATTTAAACATACAGACCCCTGACTCAAAACCGAATATTCAAACTTAGTTTTTTTCATTCCTTTAGACTATCCCTCAATACTCCATCCCTTGTCACTCCAGCTCCAATGTGGTAGTGGAACCCAGTGGACTCCTGGAGCTCAATAACTTTACTAGTCAACGTCTTGATGACGAAGAGACAGCAATGGAACAAGATGTGGACAGCAGTACTGAGGAAGGCACTGAGCCAAGCCCCTCACAAAGTTCAGCTGAACAATCCTAATGAATCGGGATCCTGGAGTGCACTTTAAATTTATCTTGGCAATTGAGTATCCAAGATGCCCTTGTATTATGTATTAGAGCACTTTGCCTATTAGAGTTGTTCATTGGGCTCTTGAAGCATCAGTGTGTTTTAACAAGACAGTATTGCAGACACATCTTAAAATTGTTTCCAAAAAGATGTAGTTACCAAGATATAGTAAACCTGTGACAGTGGAATGTATGTCTTTTTTTAAAAAAAGGCAAATCTACGGTGAATTGGAAAGATTGAATAGAAGTTCTTGCTATGAAGCTCTTGACCAGATACTGAAACTTTTCAGTAAAAAGGGACCTTTTATTTTGCTGTGTCTTTCTTTTTGTAGCTATTGAGTGAAACACCCTCACAAAGAGAACATTTAGTAAATATTTGTATTTTTAATAGCATGTGAGATAAAAGGTGTCTCTGAGAGTGCAGAAAAAGCCCCAGGTATTTCTGAATTGACTAGCTGTCTGGCACTTGAGCTCAATTAATGTTCAGATTTTTAATAAGCCTAAAATATAGTTTATTTTTAAAATTACTTGTTGGTGACTGTTTGGAAATAAGCAAAATTGCTAATAGGTAACATGGTTTGGTGGGTTTTGTTCTCATATATTGAAAGAAATATGCTAATTTAATGTGCAAAATGTTTCTTTTTGTGCCACAAGTACATGAAATACCCATTTAGTCTAATTAACCTGTGATTATTTATTTAAATGCAATGATTTAAAACCAGGCCCAGTTGTTTAACTAATTCCTGTTAACAGCCAGATGTTTTCATTCTAATGCTGTGGGATGCCATAAATGTTTTCGGGCTTAAAAAATGTTCAGAGTTGGGGAATATTTGGTTCATAATCTCATAATATTAGCCTGTTGTATTCAGATAAAGGCTGAAGCTTTTAAAAATTTATATTTTACTCCTACACTGTTTTTAAAATGACCATTTTGGGAGTTTAAAGGCTTAAATTGATTAGTTGTGTTTCAGAGGTATCCTCAGCCTTATCACTTGACATGTTCAAGCAATATATTTGGTTTTTATGATTACAAGCCACGGAAAGAGATTTGGGTACAGATGGGATGACAGGAGACATAGTTTTAATACGTTCTGGTAATGAAGAAAATACTTTTCTTTTTTTAAAAATGTATATAGAAAAGTTTTTAAACATTTTGTATGGATTTCATTATAAATAACTAAGCATTTTAAGACTTTTGACATTTCATTTAATTGTGTATATATCTATCAGCATTATTGCCCATTTTTTGGTGCTGAAGTACTACTGTAAGTATAATTCATCCAAAGTATAATACAGGTTTTGTGTCAGTCTTTTTTAAGATGTGATTTTACTGTTGATATTGTAGTTTTTTAAATTCCAACTGAAGAAACACTCACCAAACTAAAATACAAAACCTAAAAGATCATCATATTTGTCCTGAACATCTATGTATGTAACAATGCTGCAGTATCCTGTAGATGGTGCTGTTGGTTCTCCTTTTAGCCTCTGTTAGCAGTTATTTCATTTATAAAGTCCTTGTGACTTTCATTTTTATGTTCTGTTTTGTCTGTTAATTATAAGCCTCAATGGCATACCTTTTATGATGGCAAAGGGAAGTGTTCAGTCTTAGTATCATGGAAAATCTGTACATAATTGAGTGGTAATAATTGAATTATCTTCTCTTTATCAGTTATATGTTACAACATTTAATACTGTTACAAGTACTTGTTTCCTCCACATTGTTTTAGATAACATTAGAAGCATTCAGGTTGGCGAGAAGAGAGAGCATATGAAATGGAAAATACCATATGCCTTTTTTGTGTTTGAGTTAATAGCTTAATATTGTCAGTCATTGTAGATGGTATTTCAGTTTTAATAGCTGTGCTTATGTTTCTAGAACAGGGATACCTAAAGTATGGTTACTGCTCCTGAAGGTGGTTGCTCCTTCTCGGTAACTATAAGTTGACAAACAAGCTTATTAGACACAGGTTTCATTGCTAATGGATTCAGGTAAATTCTCATTTCTAGTCATCTCTCATAGAAGGGGTCAGTATGAGCCTATTCCATGTATTTAAAAATGAATGTAAAATTCTATGCAAATGAGATGAAACTCTGTGGCTTGTGCCAAGCTGTTGTCTCTTGTGGTCTTGCAGTATAATGGATGTCCCTGTCATAGGCAAGCTAAAGGGAGGAGAGAAGAAAGCCCTGAATTTCCATTCTTTCACTGTAAGAAGTGCACAACTTGGCCACAAAGTAGCACTCCACACTTAAATTTGTTATCTCTATGTAACTTCAGGTGGCTGCTCTCTCTTCTACAAAAGGTTTATAAAAATACTCATAACATATTACACAATTTAAGTTCTGGTCCAGTTTTGGTTTCTTAACAAAAAACTTTAAGTTTATATTGTAATGTTCTTATTTTAAGATTGCTGATAAGAAGTTTTTAGAGAGGCCCATGAAACTATATAAGAGGGTTACATCTATAGCAAAATTATATTTTGCACTTACCAGTACAGTGTCCATTGCTTTCGTTGAGCCTTTACAACCATTAAGGCACACACTATGTCTGTTATGAAAGGTGGATATTTTACAGACTGGTAAACTGAAGCTCATGTTAAATGCTCTGTCCACAGATATACACAAAGTCTGTAGAGTTCAGTCTTCCTTCTTTCCTAATCCTTTCCCAAACCAGTTGTTAATTGAGGTCCTAAATTGGTTTATGATCTTCAATGTATATGTTGGAATTGGTAATTAGTTTCATTAGTGAGAAATCTGCAAGGTAACAGGCTTTGATTCTGCAGCTAAAGTCCAGACTGTGTTTTGTGTTTCAGCTACAGTAGTAGAGTATGTCATCCATTAAACTTTTGCTTTCATGGTTATTCTTCACCTCCTTATCACAGCTTTGCTGAACTCTCCTCTTAGGTTGCCTTGTCCAACAAACAGTTTATTGCTACCTGCCAAAAATACATGTTTGAAATTATTTTCAGCTCATCCTTGCCAGATAAGTTTCATCTTCCTTAAATGGAAGAGATTTGACTTCCTGGCCCTCATTTTACAATGGAATAGCTCAAAACTGAACTGTGTACAATTGCTTATTTTTATTTATATTAATAATTGTGTGATGCCATCAGAGGATTGAAAAATTTCTTACCAAATAATTTACTTTCTGCTAGCAGCATCTCCCACAATTCTGCTACACGGGGGCTGTTTCCCTCCTCTCTGCAGTTCCCAGATGTGGTTCAATGTGTGCTGGCCATGTCCCTTTTTCCTGCTTGCTTCCAAATAATCATTCCAAAACTCTGTAACACTCATAGAAGAATATTAGTAACAATAACTTACCAACTTATTAACTATGTATAGTAGATGACTGCCTACAGAGTAGTAATTCATATAAAATGCTCACCTTCAGCTGTAAAGCTATCCAGGGTAAGTAGAATTGTGGGAAATGCTACTAATAGAAAGGAAATTATTAGGCAAGAAATTTTCCATTCTGCAGCCCCAGCATCTTCCATAATTCTGCTATGCATGGGAAGTAGCAAGTGGTAAACAGGAGTGGGGTGGGATACAGATAAATTAGAAAAGAATGAGATAAGAAAGACACCTCTCGTCCCCCCCAATACTGATTGCTTGAAAACCAAGGCTGTTACTTGGCTACCACCTGCAACATCTTTTGGCTGAAGGAGTCCTCTGCAGAAGACATACAGTCCACTTTATAAGATACTATAATGGTGTTTCCCAATCACTGCTTATTCAGTGAAAGAATATGTTCATTTAGCTCACAAGATTGTCATGGGTCTTATGGAGTATGCTTTGATTTATTCTGGAGCAGAAATGCCTGACACCATGTAGGCCTCGATAAAGTATAATCTGATCCATCTAGTGACTTGACACTTTGGATGGAAAGAGACAGTGCATTATTTCCTTGTTGATCTGTATACATGATGTAACTCTTCAGTACCCTTCTGATGTCTTGCGTATACAACAGCTTCTTGGTCAGCCGCTGCTGTGTTGAACAGAATGAAGAAAAATCTCCTGTGAGGTATGGAAAGGAGATTTCATTTTGGGGAGAGAAGATTCTGGAGTTCATAGCACCACTTTGTCATTATGGAACATGCAGTAATGTTGCTGCACAGGTAAGTCTGCCAGGTCAGAAACTTGCCTAGAAGATGCAATGGCAACTAGAAAATTGGTTTTGATGGAGAGAATGCTGATCCTGAATCAGAGGGTTGAGTAGTAAGGGTGTTTAATGCTAATGGCAGATCTCAAGTAGGGAAAATTGATCTGATGGCTGGTTTGGCCATTCTGACTGCTGAGAAACCTGGATACCTGGGAATTTGTTCCAAGGAGGCTGAGGATCCTGTTAACAAAATGCTAATAACTACTGATACTTAGCATGCTGTGATGCTCGGTTAAAGACATTAATTTACACCTTGGAAAAAGTCTAGGATAACTGGAATCCCTGAGTCTTTTGGGTCTTTGTGCTCCTGGCACCAGACACTGAACCTGTTCCAGGTGGAATGAGCATTTAAGGTGAAAGGTTCCTGGATGAGAGCAAAGTCCCAATCACCCTGCAAAACAGGACAAGTGATACTGATCCTTTTCTTTCAAAATCTAGGCTGTTAGATGAAAGTGGTCTGGGTCCAGGTCTGGAAATAGACCTCAGGAAATGAGTCTGGTATTGCTGGTAACCTTGACAATGGCTCCAGTTTCAGTTCGGTCTCATCAGCATATCAGGGCCAGAACAAAGCTAACACTATAATCTTTGCTTGATGCTGCTTTATCTTTTAGCTCATTTGCTCGCTGTCCTTAAAACCTACTTATATACGCAACTGGAACTATGTTGTCTGACTGGACCGGACAAATAAATACAGGCATCTGTTCCTAAGAACTTATGGTATGCTTCCTTGACACAGTATTTCCAACAATTTGCATTTGGATGATGGAAGACCAGACATCTACAAGATGAGTTTGAAGCGTTCGTGGTTCAAACTAGGGATGTTAGTGTGTACTCATTTACATGATTAATTGATAAGCCTGGACTTGTCAGTTATCCTAATAGTTACATACACATACATCCGGCTCCCCTTTGCTGCCTCTGTATCAGAGGTGGGAGGTGGAAACTGGCTTTAAAGTAGTCTTCCATGGAGCCACCCCCCACCGCGGTCTCCCACAAAGACAGCAGCTTTAGAAGACCTGTGGTCACTTTCTTTGGGGGCTCCAGGCATCTTGAGTGATTCCTGGTTCCATATGTTTCCCCTACAGGTTGGCATCAGTTGTGTGAAACCAGAGGGTCTAAAAGGCATATGGGAATGTGCTTGGTAAGCATTTGTTGGGACTGCCTATCATCTTAGAGAGTTGCATACCTGCTTTGTGGCCAGCATGTGATCCTTCATGCATTCGAGGGAGCAATTCAATGCTTTCAGTAATATGTCAGATACCTGATATGTGATCACACTACACATGCTTATGTGACCAGGAGCGTCTATGTCTGCTTCTAAGTGAGTTAGTTATCCCTGTTGAGGGAATCAGGGAACTCTTCTTGATGTTTATTACAAAGCCAGGCACTTTCAGGAAATCCAGACTCTAAACCATGGCATTGTGCCCTCCAGCCTGCGTCATAGATCTGATTAGAATGTTGGACTCAGGATTGTGAGCACCCTGAAACCTGAGTCCAGCTATGATCACCACTGGCATCTTTGTAAAAGACCCGCAAGACTAAGTAGAGATGGCATGGGAGTGTTCAGTAGTGCTATTAATCTGTGCCTTAAGTAATTCTGAGTAGCTAGTGTTCCTATATATCATAGTGTAACCCACACACCTAGTGTGGTTACTGAGCAATGTAAGTGGTACCTAGACCACAGCAACAGTTAAGATCAAAAGACCTCTACAGCATGGGCTGGGAGCCAGCTGGCTTTTAGCTCAGGGGGTAAAGGCTCCCCAGAGGTCCCAGGTTCAAATCCGCCTAGAGATGGTTACAATAGCACCACGTAAATATGCATGTGCCAGAACCACTAAGGTTAGGAGGTCTGCTTACATTAAGGTTGAGATTTTGGAAGTTGGGGTCTCTGCATGGAATTTTGTTTTCTTCTTCCGCTTGTTGAATCTCGTGATGCTTGGTGGAGTCCCTGGAACAAGGAAACTGGTAAAGAAAGGATGTGTTGAAGTGTGTAATTCTGGGAATATCTCTGATTCACTCTTTTATCCATTTGTTTATAGTCAATGCATTCTTTTCTCTGAAAGTGGAAATTCTGCCTTCTAGATTAAAGTTTGAGCAGAGGCACATTTTCTCATCACGTTGGGTTCTTGGGCATTGTGGGACCAACTTGTGGGTTTTCTGCTCAAGCCTTCGTTCCAAGACTTGTCCTTGATAAATCTGTTGTTCTTCCTCTGGGTCTCCTCTAAGGAGAAGGAGTGAAAGGGTGTGTCTGCCTAAAAGCATGTTTGAACTCTCCTCTTAGAGAGGGGAGGGCTTAGACTAGATTTAGCATTTTTTGCCACTACGTAATATTGTTTTTTCACTAAAAAAGAGATCTTATGAAATTGGAGGAGCATAGAACTTGTTTGGTCTGAATATCTATCTTCCAGGGATGGAGCTATAGGTGTTGCCTAGCTTCTGAGCAGTATGCTATAGCCATAGCTGAAATTTGCATCCATTGAGGCATCAACCACGCATTCTGTTGCTTGAGAAGTACTCTTAAAAGAATGGAGCTGAAGCCATGGTGATTTCTGTACTCAAGGTTACTAGGGTCCTCCAACCAAGATATTATAGCTCTCTCAAAGTGTATAGTTGTGAGAGATGCGCTGATGAAGCTTCAAAGTCCCTTTGTTAGAGTAGCTTCCACCTTCCTGTCTGTTGGGTCCTTAGGAAGAATTTCTTCTTATGGAATAATCTTGTCTTTTGCCAGGGTGCTACTGTGACATCAACTTTTGAGACTGTTGATATTATATTTGGTCTCTTGCAGTTCATTGGATCTAAGATCATGCCCGTTAATGTGGTTATCCTTGTTGGGTTTTCCCAGTACTCTTCCGTATCTTTGGAGGAGTACAGGAGAATCATGACCGCAAGGGAGGATTCTGAGGGAAGATGTTTGCTTTGAGACATAGCCTCAGAAGCCTATTCAGGTTGAAACTGGATTGTGGACACATTTAGAGTCCAAAAGGCCTCCTCCTTCGATACAGGAGCAGGGGTCTGAGTTTGAGGCTTTTAACTTTTGTGCATGCTTTTTGGGCATGGCTATATTGCAATAATCAGGACACAGTGTTTTGCTGCTTGCCTTACACAGAGGCCAAAGCCCTTTAGAAATTTCTCCCTTAGTGTCCTCCCCTTAAAGGTTCAAGTCCCTTGAATTCCCTGATTTAGATTGGGAAGCAGGAGGCTATTTATAAATCCTATTTCTCTTCGTAATGAATTCTAGACCCATTTAGAATTTAAAGGGAGATTGGTAACCTTACAAGAGTTTTATCTTTGCAGTCCTGCATTGCCCAAGGACTTACTCTCTGGTCCAACTGTATGAAGTTATCCATAGAACCTCACCCTGATCTGATCTTGATCTCTCTGTTTAGGCTTTTTTGTGGCAGAGTTGCAAACTCTTTGGGTGGTAGGCTCTCTGCCTGCCTCACCCCTGTGCTTACTGCAAGGGCCATGTGGTTTTTGAACAGCTATGAGTCTGAGGAGAGTGGGGGAGAGTGCATCGCAAAGCTGTCAGTTGACAACAGCGGTCTCAGAGCCCCATGCCCTGGTGGGATCAGGGTTAGCTGGGTGGGAACAGCCTGAGCATAATTCACCTTCTGAGCCTGGGAATGGTGCTGCTGCTGCTGCAAAGGCGTTAGTTGATTGCAACAGTTTCAACTGAACCTGCATTCT